TTAAAATATGTTATACTTGTATAGATTTTTGGTACAAAAAAACGTTAATATGTTAAATCTATTTAAACTTAAAGTAAATTCAAAAATTTATAAATGAGTCACAACATAAGGGTAATTAATGCAGTTTGATATCATTTAAGCATAAGTCACATTATATACAGTTATTTATTACCAATCCATTATAAACTGCATTTCCAAATAATTATCATTTATAAGCAATGATATGATAATATTTCAATAAAATATTTACACAATTGTTTTAATATTGAATTAAATAAACAATTCTTGATATCTTACGGTAAATCATATCAATGTATTGTGGCAATCGTTAATAGCAATCAAATGTGGTTTCAGTTATACCGGTATTAGAGACCAGTCACCATTCACATCTATGCAATTATTTGTACATCAATGACATGGATTAACTAACTATAATCAAAATATTAGTCACTTGTTTGCTTACTCAGACAATAACTGCATGGATTAAGTGTCACAAACATTATAAACTTGATAGCATTTACGGTTAAACCAATTGAAAGTTTATTAAATCAAACCTCAAATAATAAGAAAATACACAACAAATAGACATTTATTTACGTTTAGACTTAAGTCTCTTGACTTTGCGTTTGTTTTGTTGCTTTTTGACTTGTCTTTGATTCATCCATTGAGGGTAGTGTCCGAACTCATCCAACAGCTTCGGCTTCGGGGTCACCACCGACTCACTGCCAGTTGTCTCCATCGTGTCCACCAGCAGTGCCTCCTTCACCTCCTTCTCACTGCCAATGCTCTTCATTACTATGTCTTTGTCTTTATCTACCATTTATGACAAACCATTCAATCAATCACTTATTCATTCAAACCAATCCAATCAAAGCAAACCATTATTGGTGTCCTTTTGTTGGCTTTTATCGATCATAGTCTTCAATCGGATCAGCTCTTTGTCCGAATATCTCACTCTCTTTATTGCTTTCATCTTTCGTTTCCATTTACTCCTCAAACTCTTTGCCATTATTTGTAAATCACTTGTAATTCAATTCAAACAACAAATCAATTCAATTGCAGTAAACAACGAGTGATTAAAAGACAATCAATGAATGCATTGAAGAGTCAGTGAAACACGTGTTTGTGTTTTGACACCACATGTGGACTGTTGTGACACCTATTGGTCGACTCACTCACCACTCAATCCATTGACGTTCAGGCAATCAATTCATTGAGTCTTACATTCCTTTCGTTAACTCATCCGCTCATCCATTCCTAAGCATCTCACAGTCTCACAGCTCTCTCTCTCTCTCTCTCTCTC